GGCAGCGCCTCCTGCGCCAGAAGAGTGCATCAGCATGGCGCTCGGATGTCCGACCAGGACTCACCGAAGATCCAGGATGTGTAATGGCAAACCCCTTGGATGGGATATCTTATCGGGGCTCGAATCCTGGCGTCTCGACTGTCTCGAGCTGGGCGTTTGCACCCAATTGTGGGCCCCAGGACCCTCACACATCGATCCGGGGCCTTAAAGAATTTGTCGCGATCTCTTGCGATGATTTGATCGTTCCGCTTGAGTCGGACACCTTCTAACCGTCAACGACGAAGATTAAAACGACGTTGGGGTGTGAGCCCCGAGCCGACGGCCGCGACGATGACGAAGACGACAACGACCGCAACGAGGACGGCGTGGGGGTGTCCGATTCGAGCCCAGATCCCGTCCAGGATTTTGTCTCGAATCGGACATCCTCGAACCGACGACGACCTCGATGATGATGAGGAGGAGGATGGTCATGGTGACGACGTGGCGACGATTCGGGCCAGAATGACGCCAGGGATTCTGGCTCGAATCGTCGACGACGACGACGACGATGACAAATACGTGGGGCGCTCGAATCCAGCCAATATCCTTGGCGGGATTTTGGCTCGAATCGGACACCCTAGAATTGACGACGACGACGAGGACGACAACCGCAACCACGACGACGTGGGGGCGGGCGATTCGGGCCGAAATCCAAGGTGGGATTTCCGCAGGGCTTGGATACCCTGGAACTGACGCCGACGACGATGAGGACGACGTTGGAGTCTCCGATCCGGGCCGACGGCCTCGGCGACGACGACGACGACGACGACGACCTTGGCGGTCTCGCCTTTTATGCCTCCCCATGCTTCAAGACGGCCCAAGAGGCCCAAAAGTTACCCAGGTGGGCCACAAAACGATCCGAGGAGGCCCGAAGACGGCCCAAGAGATCTCCAAGAGGGTCCCAAGAGGCCCCTAACGGCGCCACAAGGGAGCCCAAGAGTGCCCCTGCGAACTGACATGTCGAGCTTTTCCGCTGAAGCAGAAGCCCATGGCCCCACAAACATGCCCCGCAAGAGGCCCCGAGAAGCACCCAAGCGGCCCCTAACGCACGCCAACAACGACAACTGGCGACGATGACGAGACCAAAACAATGCGACAAACAACGAGAACACACGTCGTCGACGACCGGAACAACGACGACGATGGATCTTGGACACGCGGGGCCAACGGCATCGTAGACCTCCTCCTGCTTCGCTGGAGGTGAGCCACTGGTGGTGGTAAAATGCATCCCTGGTGGCGCCGTCAAAATGAAGTGGGATATGCTCTAGGCTGCGTAGTAGCAGTGTTTGTAATAGAAGCCTCGCTGGGGCCTGTAGGCGGACGAATGGGATTATGCCATACGCTCCCGCAGGGACTGCGTGAAGAGCTGTAGTCAGCCATGTAGCAACAACGTAGGAGCTCGACCAGTTTCTCATAACTTTCGGGAAGCCCCATTGGACGTTCTCGTGGGCTCCAGGAAGCTCGACAGGCCCGCCCCCCATCACCCACCTTCTTATCTTCGATTCCAACGCATCGCTCCTCCCAAACCTCTCTTCCGTTCCATCCCCTCTCGTCGTCTCTATCACTCCCGTTCTGTCTTGATCACTGTGCTCTTCCTCTTCCTCACCACTCCGAATCTTAAAATGCTTGATCATCCTCGCCTGGTTCTGCGCTAAGAGCTACTGTAAGAAATGCCACAAGAGCCCGAGAGTTTGACCAGGATTTCAAAACGAACAAAACGAAAATCAATAGTGCATGCTTTAGTCGGACTTTTAGTCGGAGCTGTAGTTCGAGCTGTAGTGGAAATCGTGGTAAGGGCTGTGGTGGAAGCTGTGGTACTACACGTGGCACTAAGCCACTATGGACTGTATTCGGGAGCTGACAGGTCTGAGGAAATAATAGTTATGGTGCAGGCTGCCATGTGAACTGTTGTAGTAACGGGTGCTGTATGTGCTGTCGCCGGACGTGCCGCATTGAGGTGTGTAGTAGCATCTGAAGCAGGAGCCGCAATCCAGTCTGTATCAGGGGCAATCGTGGGAGCTGTGATGCTACGAGCTGTCGGACTAGAAGTAGCATCAGTTGCGATGTAAGCTGCAAGTAAGGCTCTCATACTCTATGTCGGATATGGTGTGGTGAGGGCTGTAGTACAGTCGTGCTGCTGAAACAAAGGAGCGCTAACTAAGAAACGAAGCTATTTGGCACTTGAAGCGCCAGGGTGGACGAGGAGCGCTTGATACAAACCTTTGGAAGGAACCTCGAGCCCCTTCTGAACCGAAACTGTTCCTTATTTCAGAGATTGGCTGTAGGTACACACGCATGCTGTGAGAAGATGCGGTAGGATAGTTTTATACGCTGCTGGAGGAAACATTCCTGAAGGAGTATTGACGATCCCTGCAAGATTCGGCTGAAGGATTCCGTAAGAATTCCGGAAGGTCCCCTAAATTCCTGCAAGATTCTTGAGGACTCCTGAACTATTCCTCAGGCGTTCTGCAGGATGGTTGAAGACTGCTCGAACAATTTCTTGAAGGCTCCGGAAGAATTCCTGGGGGATTCCGGAAGGCCTCTTGAAAATTCGGGAAAGATATTTTTGGATTCCTGAAGATTCTTGAGGATGCCTCAAGGGTTCCCACCAGATCACTGGATTCTTGAGGGGTTGAGGGGTTATGAAGGATTCCCAATGGATTCCCGCCGAATTCCCGGACGATTCCTGGGGGACGTTGGAGGGATTTCTGAAGGACCCTGGAGGGACTCCTGATGGACTCCTGCGGATTGCTGAATGGTTCTGGAGGGATTCTTGAAGGACTTCTGCGGATTCCTCGAGACTCCAGAAGTCAAAAAGGATTCGTAAAGGACCCTTGCGGGTCCCAGAGGATTCCTGAAGGACTGCGGGTGATTCCTAGAGGATTCTTGAGGGTGCCTGAAGGATTCTTAAGGATTCCTGAAGGATGCTTGAGTGTTCTAGAAGGCTTCTTGAAGATTCCTAAATGATGCAATGAGATTGCTGAAGGTTCCAGAAAGATTCTTGAACATTCCTACGAATTTTCGATGGATGGCTACGGATTCCAGAAGGATTCCTGAGGGACTCCACAGGGATTCCCGAGGGACTCTGGAGGGCTTCCTGAGGGACTCTGGAGGGATTCCTGAGGGGGCATCTTTCGGTTTCGTGAGGATTCCTGAAGGATTCCTGAGGGGCTCATGAGGACTCTTGAGGGGCTCTTGCGTTCGTCATTCTTCACGCGTTCTCCGTCGTGGTCGCCCTGTCAGTCGTCAGTCGTCCGTCGTCAGTGGTCCATCGTCGTCGTGCTATCTCTCTCTCTCTCTCTCGCGCGTGCGCGGCCGCCCGTGGGAAATGGGGGGGCAGGGAAGTGCAGAGGGAGGAGGAGGAGGAGGAGGAGGAGGAGGGAGAGGATGATAACAATATGATGATGTTAGCTAACGGTGATGATGCTGCTGACGATGATGACGATGGTGATGATGATAATCATGGTGATGATGGTGATGGTGGCAATGATGATGGTGATGATGATGGTGATGATAGTAATGATGATGATGCTGCTGCTGCTGATGATGATGATGTTGCTGATGCGCCTGATGGTGGTTGTGATGCTGCTGATGATGATGTTGCTGATGAGCCTGATGGTGGTTGTGATGGTGATGCTGATGATGATGCTGATGATACTGATGGTGATGATGTCAACGGTAATGATGGTGCGATGGACGGTGCGGATGACGATGGGGATAACGAGGGCGAAGCGGGGCATGAGGAGAGGAGGAGGAGGAGGAGGAGGAGGAGGAGGAGGAGGAGAAGAGGGAATGAGGAGGAGGAGGAGGAGGAGGAGGAGGAGAGGAGAGAGCAAGAGGATGAGGCTGATGCTGATAGAGATTCTGATCGTGGTGGTGGTAATGATGGTGATAGGATGATGATGATGCTGCTGATGATGATGATGCTGATGCTCATGACGATGCTGATGATGATGATGATGATGATGATGATGGTGATAACTAATGATTATGATGATGACGATGATGCTGATGGCGATGATGATGGTGTGCGAATGATGATGATGATGATGAGGATGATGATGATGATGATGATGGTGATGGTGATGGTGATGGTGATGATGATGATGAGGATGAGGATGATGATGATGATGATGATGATGATGATGATTGATGATGATGATGATGATCATGATGATGATGATGATGGCGAATACGGTCGGCGATCGGACAGATCGCAAAAACTTTTCCAGATTTCCATCGGAAACTTCAGGGAGCTCACTGCATCCAGGAGCGCTCTCATGATCTCTCCCTCAATCGAAGCTTTCGTGAAACGCTTCCCAAAACGTCGCAACCACTCCGGACCGATCGCAACTGGTAGCGATCGGTCCGAGGTGGTCGACGGTCGGTTCGAAGTGGTTGCGATCGGTCGTGCTCTCCCCAAGACGGCCTCAAGAGGGTCCAAAGATAAGGAACACGAACCTACATTTTGAGCCCTCCGCCACATGAAGGCCGCCAGATCCCCCCAGAACCCCCCGAGGGGCGCCCAAGAGGGCCCCAAGAGGCCCCCAAGGGACCCAAATAACGCCCCAAGAGGTCTTCAATACGCTCAAAGACACTCCACAAATCGCCTCCACGAGGCATCCGAGAGGCCTCCCAAGAGAGAACTACTCACAGGCATCCAGGAGGCCTCTGACCTACAAGCCCAAGGCGGGATGGGCCGAAGGCCACTAGATACGCCAGAAAATATGAGTGGAGATATCAATATAAAGGAAGACGTGTGTATGTCGAAAAGAACCCTGCGAATAAAACGCCGAGAGACTGACAGACCTGAACTGCACCAGAAAGGGCTCATTGTCGCAAACGGCGAGGTGGGTGGGAGCGGCCGGCAAGAGGGAGGAGGGGTGAGGAAGGAAGCAGGAGGTAGGGTGCCGTCGGCAGCAAACGTCCACACTGGAGTGACGCGGCTCGGAGGTGCGGGCCTACTCCCAAGACGCCTTGGCGAGCATAAAACTCGCCTCCTCGACGAGTACTCCCTCGATGCTTCCAGCAGCGCTGCCGTGCGAGGCGCTCGGGCACTTGCACATCTTGTTGCCCAGGCCGCCACTGCCACCGAATCTGCCCATAAAGCTGGCGGCCGCCTCGTTGTCCCGCGAGTGCCCCCCTGTGCGAACTTTGTCCCAACGGTCCTTCCACGCAGGCCGGAAATAATAGCCGTGGTCCACGTCGTCCTGGCTCTCGATGCGGTAGCGCGCCGTGGCTCTGTGATGGACGCACGCGGCAGAGGGGCGCTCAAGGCTCTCTGGGTGTGCATCGAAGCCGAGTAGGCCGCCGACGTCCACGCGGCCAAGTTGGGACAACTGCCGCACTGCCACGTTAAGGTGTTCCTGCTCGGGCAAGTCCTGACGCACGGTGACCTTGGCGCTAGTTGGGCTTTTCTTGTGGCGCAAAGAGAGGGTGAACATTCCAGCCGCAGTCGGCCCCGCCTTTGAGCGCTTCTTGGGGAACCAGGTGGCCTTATCGATCGAAACCTTGATGTCCGATTCCGGGTCGGCGAGCACGAGGTCCTTCGTCTCGAATTCCTCGATCGTCTGCCAAGGGGAATCCCTCTTGCCCTCGAGCAGCCGTGCACCAAGGAACGCGTCGGTGTCATTCGAATGGGACTTGCGGTAGCAGCGAATCTCCACGGACTTACCGCCGAGCCAGGCGCCCGAGAGCTCCACATGCGTAATGTACGTGGTGCACGGCTTGCCCACGTCTGGCTGCACGACTGCTTGGAACGAGAACTCGGCCGGCTTCTCGGCATCCTGTGGGAAACGGAGCAGCGTGAACGTGCCTTCGTGGTTGATGTCGAAATGCTCTCCTTGAAGGTTGACCAAGTGCGGGTCGCCCTTGGCCCCGACGGTCGGGGCTGGAGTCGAGAATTCGGGGTACGGGCCAGCTCTGGAGCACGCACCAGTGCCGTTGGGGTACAAGGTGCACACCTCGGTCGACTCGCAGCAGTCAGTGCCACATGCGCAGCAACAACCACCGGAGAAGGGAGAGGATGAGCTGCTCACCTGAGTCCCGTCGGTGGAAGTGCAGGTCTGCTGAACTGTCGCGTCGTATTGAAATGTTCCTGGGAGCGGGTCGTTAAGATCGAGTTCGTATCCACCAGTGATCTGGGAAATCCCGATAACGACCGTTGTGTGCGTGACAGTTGTAGACGGGTCACTCGATAATCTTCCAGAAATGGTGATACTGTCGCCCAGAGAGAACTCAGTGCACGTGTGATACGCGACATGTACAGGGAGAGTGGTGTTACCAGGCGGGGAGCTTCGAGCCTCGATTCCGGGAATGTAAGGATCGCAGCAGCCGTCTGTGTCAGGATCTTGGCAGGGCACGAACGGAGCTGGGCAGGGAGTGCACTCTGCGGAGCGGCGCCTGGGGAAAATGGAAGCCCTGACCAAACCGAAACTGACAAGGGGGCATCAAATGGGGAGGCGGAGGAGGAAGAGAGGCAAGTTCCCCAACCCTCGGCCGTAACACTGAATTGCAATTGCTTTCTACAAGGAGATTATCTTTTCCGGGGGCATGGGGTAGTGGGGGCCAGAAACCGCATGCAAATTTGGTTGGTCATGTCAGGGCTTCAGTTCCCAAAGACACCTGCGAGTTTCGCCGATGCAGTCTACGCACTCACAGGGGTTCGGGACGATGTACTTGCCCTCTGGGCACTCGTCGCACGGCTCGGGGACCTCCTGTGGGCAGACTGATTGGTTAACAGCGTAGACCCACTCGAACTCGGTAATGTCTGCCACCGCCCTCGAAGCGGTCTGTGTGTGCGCGTGTGTGTGTGTGTGGTAGGTGTGCGTGTGCGCGTGAATGAACCCTCCAAGCCCTGACATACTTGTTTCAACCGCGTGGGCTTCCCGAGCCCTCCGCCCTGGAGCCCCACGACCTGCAACTGCAGGCCTCGGAAACTTGCTTTTCAAGCCCAAAGCGGGAGCGAGGGCGACAACGTTGGCGGGTGCGGAGGCGGGGGCGGAGGCGGCACCGAAGGCGGGGGCAAAGGCGGGAACGAGGGTGGGAAGGACGGGGGGGCGCGGGCCAGGAACGAATGCGGCCCAGGCAGCCTGGGGCCTGCCGGTCTGCCCGTGGAGTGCAACCTCACCTTCTCGGGCCTTGGAGCCTTGATTTTCGAACCTTCTTGGGCCTTGGAGGAGACACATTATGTTTCGGGCCTCGAAGCACATATACACATATATATATATCATTAGTATTATTATGATTATTCGTATTATCATTCGTATTATTATTAGAATTATTATTACTATTACTCTTATTCTTATTATTCGTATTCTTATTATTATTCTTATTCTTATTATTATTACTATTACTATTATACATATATATATATACATATAGATATGGCTCCGACATTTCGGGGTCTACCTGGAGCCAAGGGCATGCTGGCCCCCTCCATGCAGCCCCGAATGAAATCGGGCCTCCCGAAAAAATCGTTCAAGCCCTAAGAATTCTTGGCGCCCCTGGGTTCCAGGACCCGTGGGCCAGAGCGGGTGCAAGCTAGCCCCACCAGTGCTTGGACGCGAAAATATCCAAGCCCCAACACGCATATCCATATACGCACACACAAGGATAACAAGGAATCGCCATCGGATTCCAGGCGCATTGAATCGGAATCAAGTCGGATCCAAGTCGAGTCGAAATCGACTCGGTTTCCACTTGCGCTGAATTTTATTAAAATCGAACTAGAACCATCGCGCGTGCTTCGCGCGCGCTCAGGTTCTAGCAGGCCCCAGGCCTTGACGAGTTCACTGCTCCACTGAAGTAAGTGGACCACAGATGGTTTGAGCGAGAAGTAAAATGCCCACAACTCCGAACGCATTATGGGCAGTGAGAAGTCCATGCGTGTCAATCCACATTATGGAAGGCGTTCGGGGAAGATGGCTGCGTAGGGGGGCGGAGGCCTGATGAATCGGGTTCCCAAAAGGCCTTCTGGCAACATGGGTTTGGGGGGCGTCATGGGGAGCCTGTTGGGGCGTGCTGTCGTCGTCGCCGTCGTCGTCGTAATGTCGTCGTCGCCTCTTGGGGCGCGTCGTCGTCGTCGTCGTCGTCGTCTTCGTCGTTTCGTCGTCTTCGTCGTCGTCGGTTCAAGAAGGCACTTGGGGCAACTTTGTACGATCCGCGGAGGGCCGCGAGAAAGCGATCAATCATGCTCCCAATCAACTTACCAGACAACTCTCCGGTAGCGCGATGGTACTTCGGAGCCTCCAGAGACTCTCGGGCCCATGATGAACCATGTCCCCGGAAAGCTTTCTGAGAACATGATGTGTTGGGGTGTGTTGGGGGGCCTCTTTTGCGTCCCCTGGGGGCCCCTTGGGGCCTCTTGGGGCTGCCTGGGGGCCTACTGGGGGCCTCTGGGGCCAGAGACCTCGAAATATCGGATCGCGGTCCCCCTCTGGGCACCCTCTTTGGGCGCTCTTGGGGCAACCTTGGGTCGACTGGGGGGCCTCCTGGGCCGTTTTGGGCCCTCTTCGGGGCCTCGTGGGCCGCCTTGGAGCGATCTGAAGGGCCTCCGAGGTTGCTTAAGTCACGCAGCACCCAGAAGCCGCAACAGCGACTCTCCCCCAAGGGGTTGGCGGTGCGGCGTGAGCCAAAGAATCTTCCCGCGCTGTCCGAACGCCAATGCGAACATGGCGTTAGAACCCACGGGGAAAACACCAATCCTTTCTATGCCAACTGCACTCGGGCCTGCAGGGGGGGGGGGAGGGGCAACTCTTCGCTTCTCCATGCATTTTTCCTTCTCGTCCCTCCTCCCCCCCCGAGCTCACAAGACGGCCAAGACAGGCAACCAAGGCCGCCAAGAGCCAAGATGGCCAACGACGCCTCCGAAACGGCCCAAGATGGCTCCAAATCGGCCCAGGGTGGCCTCAAAACGGCCCACGACGCTCCCCAAAAGACCCAAGAGAGCCACAAGATAACCACCAGTAAGCCCGAAAAGACGAACGCGAAAGTCTTCGGCGTCTTCACCTCTTCGGGCTCCCCTTCTGCTCCAGACGGCCCTAAAGGTATCCACTACTATGGCCCCAAGACTGCACCCAAATTGCCCAAGGATCCTACAAGACGGTCTCAAGGCAGCCCAAGAAAGCCCCTAGACGGCGCAAGGCGGCCTTGGAAAGCCCATCGACGGCCCAAATACGGCCCATCGACGACGGCAAGAGACCCCCCACCTCGGACAGTCAAGACGGCCCCAAGACGGTTCTAGAGAGCCTCAAAACATTACAAGAGGGCCCCAAGATGGCTGGCCCAAAAAGGCCCGAAAGTCCCTCATAACTGCTTCACGAAAGCCCCAGACGGCCCCCAAACCGCCCAAATGGGCTTCTGGGAAGCTCCTCAAGCAGAAAAGACGGAAGATGACACGTGTGACGGCTGTCCTGATCTTGCCTCGCCGCATCGTCATCGTCATCGTCATCGTCATCGTCATCATCATCATCATCATCATCATCATCATCATCATCATCAGCATCAGCAGCAGCAGCAGCAGAAGCAGCAGCAGCAGCAGCGACATCCGAATCAGCATCAGCATCCGCATCATCAGCCTCATCATACTCATCACCACCATCACCATCACCATCACCATCGCTATCGCTATCAACAACACCATCATCATCGTCGTTGTCGTAATTCTCATCATCAGTATCACCCTCCTCCTCCTCATCATCATCAGCATCATCAGCCGCATCAGCAGCATCAGCATCAGCAGCAGCATAATCATCAGCAGCATCCTCATCCTCATCCTCATCCTCATCCTCATCCTCATCATCATCATCGGAATCATCACCATCATCAGCATCATCATCAGCATGATGGTCACCATCTTTATGATCATCCTCCTTCTGCTCCTCCTCCCCCTTCATCACCATCGTCATCAACATCATCGTCATCAGCATCGTCACCATCGTCATCAACATCCTCAGCTTCGTCACCATCGTCATCATCATCCTCAGCGCCACCACACCCATCAACATCATCAGCATCATTATGACAGTCATAGCCATGATCATCATCATCACCACCATCAGGATCAGATCGACCCCACTCAGCAGCCAGTCCTCATCCTCATCATCCTAAGATCACTCTCATCATCATCATCATCATCATCATCATCATCATCATCATCATCCTTATCGTGGGTCATCCTCGTTTCCTCCTCATCCTCCCCCTCGTCATAAGCATCCTCATCCTCATCCACATAATCCTCCGCATCCTCACCATCATCACCACCACCATCATCATCCACACCATCAGCCTCGTCGTCATCATCATCATCACCATCATCATCATCATCATCATCATCATCATCATCACCCTCCTCCTCCTCCTCATCATCATCATCATCAGCATCATCATCAGCATCACCACCATCGTTATCGTACCCATCTTCATGAGAATTCCCCTTCTCTCATCATCGCCACTGCCATCTTCCCATCATCATGATCATCGTCATGATACCCTTCGACGATGTTCTTTCATCATATCCGTCGTCAATCTCACCAGAAGGCCGTGGGTGCCTCTTGGGGGGGAGCTTGTAGGCATCTTAGAGGCCTCTCACGGGCGTCTTCGATGCGGTTTGGGAGCCTCTTGAGGCCCTCCCGGGGGCCTCCTGGGGGCCTCTTGGGAGCCTCCTGGGGGTCTCTTGGGGGCCTCTTGGGGCCTCTTGGAGACCTCTTGGGGCCTCCTGGGGATCTCTTGGTGCCTCCTGGGAGCCTCTGGGGCCGACAGCTCGGAATTGGAATATGGTTGTGAACCTCTGGGACCCCTCTGGGGCTCGTCCTGGGGCTCTCTTGGGCTGTCTTGGGGGCCTCTCGGGCCGTCTTGGGAGCCTGTGGGGGGCAGTCATGGGGGCCTCTTGGGCCGTCTTGGACGCTGTGACAGCCAAAGGGGTGTATATATATGATATATATATATATGTATATATATATATCTATATATACATATATATATATTATATATATATATATATATATATATATAATATATTATATATATATATATATATATATCATATATATATATATATATATATATATATCCCTGAGGGAATGGAGCGAATTTTGCCTCTCGGGGCCCTCCTGGGGGCCTCCTGCCTCCTGGGAGTCTCTTGGAGGCCTCTTGGGGCCTCTTGGGGGCCTCTTGGGGCCTCCTGGGGACCTGTTGGGGCCTCCTGGGAGCCTCTGGGGCCGAAAGCTCGGAATTGGAATATGTGTCGCAGGTCCCTCTTGGCGCGTCTTCGGGCTCTCCTGGCGCTTTCTCGTGGCGTTCTGTGGGCCTCTGGGGCCTCCCAAGGGCCTGCACGCCCCCACTTGTGGTAGAGGTCGTGGCCCCCAGGCCCCAGGCCCCGGCCCTGGAGCCGTCGCTGCGGCCTCCCTGCAGTCTCCGGGGGCCTCTGAAGGCCCCGGGTCGCCGAAACCCTGTAAGAACACAGGGATACTGACACGGTGCACCCCCATTTGTGGCAGAGGCCGCGGCCCCAGGGGCCCGGTCATACGTATATAGGAATAAGAATCAGACGCGCTCGCGGCGGATGGAATCGATCGAATCGGAATTGACACTGACAGCTGGGCCCCGCTGACGCATCGAGCTCAAAAATTGTTCGTATTGTGGACTATTGGTTTGCCTGCCATGCAGACTTGGTACCGACAGCAAGTGCGCGGGATAGGGTGTCCAGAGACATGTGCGATACTAGCCCCCGACGCTCTTCCAGTCCGCCTCCCCTTCGCAGGCACTGTGGCGGAATTCGCGCGGCAACGCACATGAATTGATGCAGCCGTCATCATCCAAGTCCCACTTTTCTGGCCCGCAAGTTGCGGGTACCATGAAACAGTATTCCAAGACGGGCATCTGCAGGTCACACTCGTTCTGGGTTAAGCAACCATCCGCATTGAGGTCGTATGTCCCGAAGCAGGCCGGCACGTGACACGAGCAAGGGATCCCTGGAGCTTCAAACTTGTATGTTGGCTCGGGTGTCGGCTCGGGTGTCGGATCCAGCGTCGGGGACGCTGTTGGCGGAGGAGAAGGCTGCGGTCGCCCCTTGAAATAGCGGTCCTCTGTGATCGGTGCCGGCGCTGGCGGCGCTGCAACCTTCGCCACCTCCTGTGCAGCTCTGGCCTCCTCGTCACCTTTCGCAGCCGGTGCCACATCCTTGGCCTCTGAAGCAGTTTTGGCGGCCTCGTTCGCAGCCTTGGTCTCCGCGGCAGCCTTCGTCGCCTCCTCTGCAGCTCCAGCCTCCGCGGCAACCTGCTCGGCAACCTTGGCCTCCGCCAGAGCCGCCGTCGCCTCCTCTGCGGCCTTCGCTGCGGCTGCAGCCTTTGCCGCTGCGGCCTTCCTCGCCGCTTCCATTGCCACTTCGGCCTCTGCGGCAGCCTTCGCCGCCTCCTCTGCCGCAGTGGTCGCCGCAGCAGCCTTCTCGGCAGCCTCAAAATACGCGGAAGCCTTCGCCCCCTCTTCTACGGACCTGGCATCTGGTACAGATTTCGCCGCTGCGGCATTCCTCGCCGCCTCCTCGACCGCCACGGCATCTGCAGCAGCCTTCGCCGCCTCCTCTGCAGCTTTAGCCTCCTCGGCAGCTTTCGCCGCCTGCTCCGCGGCACTGGCCTCTGAAGCAACATTGGCGGCCTCGTCTGCAGCCTTGGCCTCCGCGGCAGCCTTCGCCGCCACCTCTGCCGCCTTGGCCTCCGCAGCAGCCTTCTCGGTATCCTTGGCCTCTGCAAAAGCTTTCGCCGCCCGCTCTGCGCTCTTGGCATCCACGGCAGCCTTTGCCGCTGCTGCATCCCACGCCGCGTCGTCGACCGCCCTGGCCTCCGCGGCAACCTTCGCGGCTTCCTCTGCATGATGCTGGTGCTGCATTGCTTTCGCGCTGGCCTCCATGATCTTGCGCCACACGGCAGAGCTCTCCCCGCCAATCATGTCTTCGGGCAAGCCCTTGTCCCCGTCCTCCACGATCTTGGCGGCGGCAGTCGCTCGTAGCAGCACGGCTGCGGCCAGGGCGCGGAGAGGAACCATCACACCAGGCATGTTGTCTCGGAAATATGAATGGGTAAGTGGAACGGTAATAGTGAAGTGAAGTACGTGTGAATACGTGAACAGGTCGCGACTAGTGAACCGAAATCGTAAGCCAAAGTGGACGCGGATTCGGGAACAGAGAAGCATGTCGGGAAGCCATCCTGGACATCATGATGCGCGTCCTACGCTCCGGGAAGCTCAACCGGACCATGGCGCCCACCTAATTTCTATTCGATTCCACCTCATCGACCCTTACTGTTTACCTCTTCCGTTCCTCCCTCTCCTGTCGGCATTCTATCCCTCCCTCTTTGTCTCGATGAACATTGGCTGCACGCAAGGAACGACCCCAGGCAAGAGTGGCGAATTTTTGACCACGCCTCCCCCCGCGCCCCACGGAAGCCGGGCACACAAAATCACTCAGGCTGAGGGTCACTCTCGCGCGGTCAGCCCCGCCGTGGGGCAGGGCCCGGCTGTTGTTCACGCTGGCGGAACCACAAAGGGCACCACTGCAAGAGGCCCCGAACAACACGTACACGGCGCAACCACGATGTGGCACAGCGCGGCAGTTGCACACGGCACGACACTGCACACGGCACCGCCCAAACGAATCGCGAAGTGGACCCCCGACACGTCCACGGTATGGCATGTCGGGGATGGAAAATCAAGGCGCATGGCACGGCAGACAACGCCACACCGCCCGACAGCAATCGCGCTTTGGCGCGCTCTGTCGGGGTTGCGCCCTAGGTTAGGCCCATAGATTGAGATGTGGTTGCGACTGGCCGATTGACGTCTTTGGTCTGCTCTGTCCAGGCTGCCCCATCAGTTGCGCCACATTCAACCCCTGTGATCTGCCCTGTCCCGCCTCTTGGAAATATAAGGACCCCGTGCAGCATCCAGTGCAGGGAAACTGGCAGTGGTGCCATCGAGGGGGCGCGCCGGCCTCTCGGGACATCTCCTGGAGGGCCTCGGGAGAAGCCTCCCGTCCAGGGAGGCTCCAGGCGGCACCTGCGGGGTGGGTGCCTGCCACTCCCCCTGGCGAGAGCAAAAACAGCAGCGTCGCCTTTGTAGTAGTAGTTGTAGCAGGCGCTCAGGGAGACGTAGACCACCTGGCTGCCGGCCGACAAAGACCGTGCGCCCGCCCGCCCGCTGCGCGGGCCCGCGGAGCAGAGGCCACGCGCGGCCGTGGCCGCCCAGAAACCGCCAGGCGAGGCGAGCGCCGCCGTCGCCGTGAGGACACGCCAACACCCGGAGCTCCGTCCAGCTCCCCTGCTCCAGCGGCACCTCCCGTGGTGCTGGGCCATCGGCTATCGATTGCTCTGCACCGGTGCGCCATCCCCACGTCCGTGCTCGAACACCCCCGCTCCACCCAGGCTGGCCCACCCTTCGGGCACGACACTGTCCCCGTCAGGGAGCCCCTTCTGGGGCCTGAACTGCCACGTTCGCGCAGGCGACCAACCAGAATTGCACAACATCGCTCATTCCCCCCCGCGAGCCCCAGTGCAGGCCCAGGCGAGACCCACCGCTCACACATAGAATTCTTCCCCCAAGAGCTCCCCGCAGCCGTCACTTTAACACTTGCTCCCCTGAGTGGCCCGCCTCTAACGCGCTTTGCACCCCCAACAAGGAGTGTAGGTGAGACTGCGTTCGCGGAACGCCGCCGCGCACACTTTGGCGCACACCACGAACAGAGAGCCCCAAATCTGCATACTGCCCCCCACTCAGTATCGCACACCTCATAGAGTCACCACCTCCACAAGAATGCAATGTAAGCGCGCAGTAGCCGGATCGCATACTGAAATCCTCTTCCAGTTGCCAGCCAGTCTTCCATGTCGCTCATTCCCTCCAGTGGGGAAACAAACATTCCCGATGAGGGCGCAATGCTGCTCCACGCTTGCATTCTCCACCCCTCACTGTCTGAGATTCCCCCGCCGAGATCCCCAACTAAATCGAAACTAGGTACGCTCACGCACTGCCCCCCGCCCCCCCCCGCGACCGAGCGACGATGCGATGCCCCAAGGCCCTGCGAGGACGCCTGCAGCTGCACACCTCCCCACCGATATGCAGATCCCTCACGAAGTTCGCCCTCCCGCATTCAGCCCCCGACCCAACATCGCCCATCCCTTATGGCATTGTCTCTTCCAGGAGGCCTGCCACTCGACTGCTTCTTCCAAGGCATCTCTCGCCACGAGGCCAGCGGGCGAGGTTGACGTCAGAGGTGGCCGATTATCCAGAACCTCGGCATTGTGCCCAGACTGCACGCACAATCTGATGCAGGCGCCTGAGGGGGGCCGCTCACCCATTAGCATGAAGGAACTGGGTCCTGTGCGACACGGGCCCCGAGAGCCCAAAAACGGTGAACTGTCTCAGGACCGGTTTCCCGCAGGACACGCTTCCTTTTTGTGGTGCACCCCTGCCTGGGCTGCACCCAGAACCGCGCTGGCAGGCGGAGATTTTACGCCCCACGCAGAGCCACCCTGGGGAGGCGGGGAGGGGCCAAGGCGCGAGGCCTTCGGCGTCCTGCGAGACAGTCGGAGACGGCAAGGCTTCGGGCTGCGCACGGACAGCCCACCCCGGCTAGTCCCAGCTGGCCTCAACAGGCCTCCCGAGTGGCCCCAGCGGCGCCCCTGGGGCGCTCCGCGCGCCATGGTCGGGGTGTTGAGACACCCCTGGACTGTACTCGGGAGGCCGACTGAGGCCAGCCAGGATTACATGAGGGAGCTCTCTGCGCGCAACCCGACGCCTTGCCAGTTGGGAAGGTCGCGGGATGGCCTCGCTCGCGGCACCCTCCAGGCATGGCGCTTGCCGGCGAGATCCGCCGAGCCCTCTCCATGGCGCTCGCTGCGCTCTGCTTGTGTTCCTGCAGCCCTGGACGAGGCTCCGCAGTTGGTCTCGTTGGCGCTCCAGCGGCGTTCCCAAGTTCTCGTGTCGAGGACACGCGTGCGGTACGATTGGGGGGCGAGGCTCCCCTCGAGGGTGGAATGGGAAACCATTCGGAGGTAATCATCTAGGTCCGCCAAGTCCGGAGCAGCTGGTCTGTTAGGCTTGCTGGCATTGACGTGGTCAGAAATCAGGAGACGACAAGCGGCGTCTCCTGGACAGCACGCGACCTCGGAGCAGAGATGAGAAGCAGTCGAGACCAACTCCGAACTGGGCCTCTCGTGGACCATTGGTGAACAGTGCGCAGCTGTGGTCCGATGGCTGCCTCAAAGACGCCGTCTTCGGGGGGGGGGGAACTCGCTCAGCGCGCCCTGACCAGGGCGCATCCACGCCGGACGTCAGGAACCTAAGACCACCATCCGGATGCAGAGGGTTCGCGCTGGATGGCGAAGGCGACTCCGACGAGGGCGGACGTGGCGGGGGGACCGGCTCAGGGGAGGAATCGTCGCTCTGGGATCGGAGACACATCGCGGATGGCTCGGCGGTCGACCCCGGACAGCGAACCCGCACGCTCCTATGGGCGAGCGTCCCCTCCCAACGCTGCCACCGCTCCCCCGGCCCGAGACGTGCGGGCGCGCGGGAGGGGCAGCCCCGCGACGATGAAGGCCGCGTTGCGCACGCCAAAGTCCACCTGCGGGGCGCCAATGTCTGGCAGCGGGCGCTCCCCTTGACACTCGGGGCGGCGCTGCCGGGCACGTGTTCTTAACAGCCCCAGGGGCCCGGGAGAGATGTAGGGAGCACCTCCCGGGAGGCGCTCGTGAGAACCATCAAAGGCGATGGACCCAGACTACGAGGTCATTCAGCCAGATTAGGCCGGATTGAGCCCAACATTTAGCTAGGTAAAACCGGATAAGTCGGAACAAAAACCGCACTCAGCAAGATAATGATGGATTGAGCCGGTTTGACCACGGATATACCAACGCCAAAGAATAGCTTCTAACTCCCAGAAGTGCATCCGTAATAGAAGACCAAGCAATGGCATGAAACTACAAGTTCGGAGGTCCGCACAAATTTCTTGGATCGGCACTGACCTTCTTCCTTGGCGCGCGGAGTGCGCCAGGGGGCGGCGCCGGAGACGCCGCGGGGGGCGGCCAGCGCCGAGTTGATGTTTCTGTCATTTGTTCTTCCTAAGCTTCCCGACCCAGTGGCCCAGAAATAGTCGACGTGGCAGCGCCATGCTTGTCACACCTATGCCCTGCCTGCTGACTCCCCCCCGCTTCGGACGCCATCATTTTATCCAGTTTTTCGTCGTCGGGATCTCGGTCACCACATCGGGACGGGCGAAAGGACGGTGTCAGATGGAGGGCCTGCGAATCAGCTGCAAAAGCAGCTGGCTTGCCGGGCGCCCCGCCCCGGCGCCGGAGAAGACCCTGGGCCGAGGAACGTGCCTAGCGGCAAGGCCTGCACCGGCTGCGTGCCGCAGGCTCCCCCTCACTCATTCTCCCCAACGCCCACCCAGCGTCCCCCCCGACTGGAGGCTCGCAAACGACAAGACGCCAACCGTCGGGACCCTGTTCCAGCGGCCAGACTACTGGGATCCAGTGCCCGCCCCCCTGGCCATCTCGGCTGCACGCAGAGGGAAGCCCGGGCCAGAATGGTGTCTGGTGCGCGGCCTGCCGACCGCTGCGTGCGATGCGACAACAGCGGCATGCGAACCTGCGTGCCCCCCCCAGACCTCCCGAAAGCCGCGCACGGTCACGCCGCTGAAGGGCCAATCTCACGCGTGGCCGACCTCCACTCGTCTGGCTTTCGGATCATAGCTCCAGTATCTGGCGGCCGTTCTGTACGACCTGGGCATCCTGGGACCGCTCTCGGCGGGGCACCGACGGAACCGTCAGAGCATGCTTTCTTCGGCGACATCCCACGGTCAGACACTTTTGCCTAGCGTGTCGCGGCGGCGGCCCTGGCGACGCGCAGTGCCCTGCATGCGGATAGCGTGTCGCTCCGCTCCACGTGGCGGGAGGCTGACAGAAGCTCGGGATGTTGACGCATGGGGACTTGGACGAGGTTGGCGTGTCGGGCCGAGGCGTGGTCGGCCAGAACCGTCGGCGCGACACGCTAAGCACATGTTCCTGATAGCAAGTGCGTTTGGAACTTCTGAAGTTTCACCCGCACGCGCAGCCATCTATCCCGCTTCCAAAAAGGGGGGCGGGACGCTCAGGGGGCTGCAGCAGCGCCGAGCAGCCCCAGGGGGCTGGGAACCGCCTGTATTTTTTCCAGGGGCTCGGGCTTCCAGTGTGCTCACCGAGGCTTCCGTGGCGAACGCGTGCTGTTCCAGCCCCAGGGGGCCTGGGCACTGCACGTATCCATCCAGGGGCTCCAGCCGCCACTGTGCTCAGCGTGCAATTCGGCAGCGCGCCCAGAAATGTTGTGTGTGCCAAGCTAGAGAGTTTGTTTCATCATGCGGCCTCCGAAAATGTGTCGAAATATGTTTTTTTATGTTGTGGCGTGTTGGTCGTATGCTTCTGCGCGCTGACACTGCTCGCCCACCCTTTGCCCGAAACAAACGCCTGGTTCAGTTGGCCGGCCTTCGGGGGCCCACGCCATTCCCCAAATGCCGAGGCCGCGCGAGCCCACGGCCCTTCGCAAACATCTTTTGTCTGACCCGACGGGGCAAAGCCACGCGCTGCTGGACGATATCCCCATGGATCCGAAGAGGCCCCAAGTTGCCCCAAGGAGGCCCCCAGAGGCCTGAGGACTACGCCCAAGAGGGCTTCAGAGGATCCGAACCTGCCTCCCAGGGGCTCCAAATAGATAATCCACGCACTCCCGACCGACATCCATGAGGCCTCTGACTCACAAGCCAGGCATGGTGGCAGGATACGCCGAACGAAAGCCACTTGATAGAAGCGTACTGGGCGCAGAGAAGAGCGCCCAACGGCCCGACGAATAACACAAGGACGCAAGAACGAGAACAATGCCCCGCACCGCGCTTTCCTGCCACAGCAAATTTGAGAGTTCCGTCCAACTTGGGGGGGAAGGATGGGAGGACGGGGAAACGGGGCAGGCTCCCATCCGCGCCCCCGCCACGGCACTGCTTTGCAACCCTTCCGAACACAGCAAACGCAGGCACGGCCAGTCTCGGGTAGGTCTGAGAACAAACAATTATCCTGACATGCGCTGCCATGGGAACTGGGAGGAACCCGTAACTTTTAGGGTCTGCCGCATCGGCTCCCCAAGGACGGCCGCCCGCCCCGAATGAACATGGTCGGATTGGGAGCTGAGGACGAGGACGGGGGGAAAGGAGGAGGAGGAGGAGAGGGAGGAGGAAGAGGAGGAGGAGGAAGAGGAAACACAAGAAAATGATGAGGATAATGATGGGGAAGAGTAAACCTGGACGAATACATCTTGACCCGCATCTTTCCAGCAACCGTCAGGGGCGCCACTGAAACTGTCAAGCCCGCTACTGAATGGGATGACACAGTGGAGAATATGCCGAGGACGCTACTGAACTATGACGCACAGTAAAATATGTGTTCAGGACGCACGGTAGAGAATTGTCAATGGAGCTGGAAGGAATCCGCACCGTTCAGGGTCTGCCGCATCGGCTCCCCAAGGACGGCCGTCCGCCCCGAGTAAATATGGTCACGTGGGGAACTGGGGGAGGAGGGGGAGGAGGAGGAGGAGGAGGAAGAAGAAGAGGAACAGGAGGATAATGAGGAGGAGAAGAAGAGGAGGAAACGTAAACCTCACCGAGTACAGATTGACCCGCACGTTCCGGCAACTGTTAAGGACGCCGCTGAAACTGTCAAGCCCGTTACTGAATGGGATGACAAAGTGGGGCATTTGCCAAGGACGATGCAGAAATACGACGCACAAGCAAGAAACTGTTCAGGCCGCACCGCGATGATTCTGTCAAGGGAACTGGAAGGCCCGCCTCGACGTCTAGAAAAACAGCCACCATAAGAATCGAAACTGCGTTGACCACTTGCGTTGACGAGAACATTCAATTCAACATTGGTCGAATTGAATGTTGAATTGAATTGAATGACGATGGTGACGACTTCGCCAATGATGATATGATGCGGTGGTGGCGATTGGCGTCCTCTCGCTGCGCCCGGGACTCGTCGCTTCTCGAGCGTGGCGCGCTCAACTGCGCAATGGCAACGTTCCCTGTAATGAAACAGCCGTGGGACGCAAGACCCTGTCATGATGTGAGCACGCAAGAACATGACCACCTGCAGGGCGCCGTCGCCAAAACAGCAAGGATGCAACGGTGGCCATCACACTACAGCTGTTCATTACCAGGGGCTCCTGCCTCTGCGGATGTTCACTCCACGGCCGTGTCCTTCCCTTTAAACAAATCGTCCAACGCCTTCTGACGAGAGGCTGGTTTCAGCACGGGTGTCACCATGTTGTGCGGGTACTTGTGCGTTGTGCCTTTGGCGGGGCCCTCAAGGAGTTCAACCACGTAGTCTCTGGCATTTGCCTTGAGAACTTTGCCCTTCTTGCCATCGAACTCGGCCTTCAGCGCAGCAAGTTTGCACGCCGCGTAGCCCCGCAGAGGGCTCCCAGATGGTGGGCGCCCCTGCCCCATGTTCAGATTCCAGTTGCTGCGCGCTTGCGTCTTCCTGTGAAATGCCCCCCTTGCTCCCCTGATCGTTTGCTCCTCCAATTTCCTCCACCCCCCGTCTTGCCTCGCCCATGTTTCGCGCGTCACCCCCCCCTCCTCCCATCACGTTCCGCGGGGGAGGGAGGGCGCCGCCCTCGGGAGCTAGATTCTCAGAGATTCCTGAGTCACCAGCGCCCGCCGTCGGTGCACATGGGGCATGGGTCCCATGTCTGTCGTTGTATACCCCAGGCGTCGGGCATCTGCCGAAGCCCTTCGCATTGTGAGATAAGGGGCCCAGGGCGCAACAACCAGGAACCAGAAGAGAAGTTCGGAGATCAATGGGGCGGCGAATCAATGGCCGAGCCTTCTGGCTTGCCGTGTACCTCGTCTCCGATTGCGAACCGCGTCAAGGCCGCGCCCTTGCCATCCTCCGCCCCGTTGCCCTCGCTCGCGCTGGCTCCCTTCTTGCCCCCGCCCGTGTCTGAGCCGGTGTTCGCCGCTTTGGGGTCCTTCTCTCCCGCCGGGGGCTCGGAGGCCTTGCGCTTCTCCTGCGGGGCCAACTGTGGCTGTTTAGAGCGGGCCGACTTCTAGCGGGCCCAACCCTGGACGCGCGGCAAACGACCTGGGCGCCCTGATTCGGGCCACGCGGGAACCGCCATCTAGGGTTAAGCCCATGGTTGATCGGGACATGCCAGGGTCCTCGGCCCGCTTCTTCAGGCGTTCCTGCTCCGCCTGGACGGCAGCGCATGGGGGCCCGGCGGCCAGGCGTCTCAAGCGCGGCACAGGTCGAGGCAACCCGTGGCATTTGTGACGCCTGACCCCTGGGCCTCCGAGAAGCACCTCTGGATGGCGATCTGATTTTTACGGCCCCTGGCCACGACAGAATCTGGTTTCCGAGGGAATCGCCGCTACGACAGAATTTGGCCATCGTGACACACAAATCAAGGTTACGACGATCCGGCCGCATTTCCGAAGGAAGCTGCGTTACGACGGAATCTGGTTATTGTGACCGACAAATCAAGGTTGCGACGATCCGGCCGCATTTCCGAAGGAAGCGCCGTTACGACAGAATCTGGCTATTGTGACACACGAATCAAGGTTGCGACGATCCGGCCGCATTTCCGAGGGAAGCGCCGTTACGGCACAATCTGGCTACTGCGACACACAAAACAAGGTTTCTTCGATCCGGCCGCACTTCCAAAGGGATCGCCGTTACGACAGAATCTGGTTATGGCGGCCCACAAATCAAGGTTGCGACGATTCGGCCACATTCCCGAGGGAAGCACCGTTACGGCAGAATCCGTTTATTCTGGCCGTCAAATCAAGGTTGCGATGATTTCCAAATCGAACACCCCGAATTCCCGAATTTCCGTGGCCCCAAGATAATTTCGGCCACGTTCGCAGGACAGCCTCCTGGCCGCCAATGCGTCAACACAATGCGATGCAACATAATCTCGGCCACGTTCGCAGGACAGCCTCCTGGCCACTCATAGCGAGGGCCCCCCCCTCCTCCTCCTCCTCCTCCTCCTCCTCCTCCTCCTCCTCCTCCTCCTCCTCCTCCTCCTCCTCCCTCCCTCCCTCCCTCCCTCCCTCCCTCCCCCCTCCCTCCCTCCCTCCCCCCCTCCCTCCCTCCCCCTCCCTCCCTCCCTCCCTCCCTCCCTCCCTCCCTCCCCCCCTCCCTCCCCTCCCTCCCTCCCTCCCTCCCTCCCTCCCTCCCTCCCTCCCTCCCTCCCTCCTCCCTCCTCCCTCCCTCCCTCCCTCCCTCCCTCCTCCCCTCCCTCCCTCCTCCTCCTCCTCCTCCTCCTCCTCCTCCTCCTCCTCCTCCTCCTCCTCCTCCTCCTCCTCCTCCTCCCCCTCCTCCTCCTCCTCCTCCTCCTCCTCCTCCTCCTCCTCCTCCTCCTCCTCCTCCTCCTCCTCCTCCTCCTCCTCTCCTCCTCCTCCTCCTCCTCCTCCTCCTCCTCCTCCTCCTCCTCCTCCCTCCTCCTCCTCCTCCTCCTCCTCCTCCTCCTCCTCCTCCTCTCCTCCTCTTCCTCCTCCTCCCCCTCCCACCGCCCCCCGCCCGCCTCCTCATCCTCCTCCTCCGCCTCCTTTTCCTTGTCCTCCTCGGGTAGGTTGTGGTTGGCCCCTGTCTCACCCCCCCCTTGCGCCAGCGTTGCCTTCAAGGCCTTGAGTGTCAGAGCGGGGGCCTTGTCGACATCGGCCTTCTTCCAGAGACCGCCGACGATGCCCCCCACCGCGAGCGCAGTCTCGTCGTCCATGTCTTCTGTCGGGACAGAGTCGCTGACCTCCAGCGCCTTCTCCACGCCCCCAGTCTTGCACCTTCTCACGAAGGAGAAACGGGCGCCCTGGGCCCCACAGGAACCCAGACCCGAAAGGGCCCATGAATGTCCTGGCCCGCACGGGCTTCTGAAGGGGCACCCTGGCACCTGAGAGGCCCCATGGGCCCAAAAAGGCCCGGGGCCCAAGAGGGTCTATCTCGAAGCCCTCGTGGGCTCTCTTCGACTCAGGAAGGGCGCGTGTACGTTTGCGCGAAAATCGTATCCCGCAACTTCTGCGCGGACACTGCCTCCCTCAGCTTGGCCATCACGTCGCACAACTTGTCGTAGACAGGGTTCCACGGAGCCACCTCCGCAATTTCGGCCCTCTCCCCATCGTTGAACTCCGACACGATCGTTTTGAACGTATCCAAACTCATATCTCCCGACTCGTACAGCGGACGGAGTTTTAACAGCCTTGATTCTGGCACCCACTCGGACAGCAAGCTCCAACCACGGCCATCCTTGAGGCCGCAAATGTGTTGCACCTTCGCTTTCTGACTCAACACGTCGCTCAGAATGGCCATTCCGAATTCCAAGTCCTCATTGTCCTCTGCGCTCAAACCGTCCAAGACTTTTTGGTTGCCTGCGCTCATATGTACCAATTTGCCGTGTCTGGTTTGGTCCTTTTCCGACGCATCACATTTCACCTTCTTCAACTGAGCCCTGAACCTCTTGAACTCGAATTGCTGGAACACGACGGAATCCTCGAAATCCAACTGGCCGCCGAGCGACAATGTAGACAAGTCCACCTTGGCATCGGAAAGAACGTCGATCCCCGCCAAAGCTATGAGGCAATGTCCTGTCTTTGGCATGATACCAGAATACTTCTCCTCGACCTTTTTCAAATGAACTGCCATGAAGGGGACGAACTCCAAACTCTCGTGTTTCACGAGGGCTTTCACCGTGAACTTCATGAACCCCGCGGCAATATCCAACTCACGACTGTGCGTCTCTTTCTCCCAATTCGCCGCCACGGCGTGATCCGCGAAGCGGCCGAGCCAATGCTCCACCGTCGACTTAATGTTCTTGTTTGTGGAATGCCACACCTTCCTTTCCGCGGCCGCCGTCAGACGGCCAAGCATGTCCTCCAAAGTTGTTTCCAAGTCTGGCTCCTCGCTGTCCTTTTTGGTCAACACTGTTTTTTTCTTAGTGGTCCCTGAAGCGCTACTCGGCGCCTGCTGCGAAGGAGCCTGCTCCACCGGCGGAGGGGGAGGCAGCGCCTTGGGCACCGCCGCGACGCCCAGCGCGGGAAGGCCACTGGATGCCAACGCGCTCGTGCCCCAAGTCTGTCTCATGGCGAGCTCAATCTCGCCTGTGTCCCATGGTAGAAGGTCGAGGCTCACCTTCTTGTCGAGGATAGTCATGCCAGCAGGGTCAAACCCTGGCGGCAAGCTGAACTTGTTAGGGTCTTTGATGGCTTGCTCGGGAAGACCCGGTGGCACTGATGCTGTCGGGCAGACCCAGTAGACCTGCCTCACCGTCGCCACCGCCTCGATCTTCACCTCGCCAGGAACGGACGGGCAAGCGCGGCGGGAAGGTTTTCCGCATTCTCCTCCCCCTCCTCCTCCTCCTCCGCCTCCTCCTCCTCCTCCTCCTCCTCCTCCCCCTCCTCCTCCCCCTCTTCTTCCTTCTCCTCATACTACAGTTAGTGGTGCTCACTGACGCTCGACAATCCCATATGGGGACCTCTTGGGGCCTCTTGGGGCCTCCTTGGGCCCCTCTTGGAGCCATCGTGGGGCCTTCCGGGTGGATTTTTGGAGCCCTCTTGGGGCCTCCTTGGACCCCTCTTGGAACCATCTTGGGGCCTTCTGGGGGCCCTGCCGGACCTTCTTGGGGCCCTGCGGGAGCCCTTCGAGGGCCTTAACAGGCCTCCAAGGGCCCCCCAAAAATCCCAGAAAAATCTCAGACTTGATGAAGACAGTGTCTGGGATTCTTCTGGGATTTTTGGCGCGCCATCTTACGAGAACGCCCACGTTCTCGCAAGAGCGGGCGCGCCATCTTACGAGAACGTCCCGTTCTCGCAAGAGCGGGCGCGCCATTTTGCGAGAACGTCCACGTTCTCGCAAGAGCGGGCGCGGCAAGAGCGGGCGCGCCTTCTTGCGAGAACGTCCCG